ATTCTCTGGGGCAGAGGGCTTATTTTATAGACCTAATTCAACTAAAATTTCCATTTTTTTTTTTTTGGGTCCAGTCATGGGGCCTGAACGCTGGGCCTGGGCACTGTCCCTCAGCTCTTCAGCTCAAGGCTAGCGCTCTACCACTTGAGTCACAGCGCCACTTCCGGCTTTTTTCTTTTTGCTTATGTGGTGCTGAGGAATCAAACCCAGGGCCTCATGCATGCAAAGCAAGTGCTCTACCACTGAGCCACCTTCCCAGCCCTAAAATTTCCAAATTTATGTATTCAGTATTATGCTAGCAAGGTTACAGGATTTTAATAATCCAGTCCTTAATACACCTATGAGATGAGGTAGGTAACTCCTCTACATTTTTTTTTTTTTTTTTTTTTTTTTTTTTTTTTATTGTAAAGCTACTATACAGAGGGTTACAGTTACATGAGTGAGGTTATGAGTACACTTCCTCTTGAACATTGTTACCCCCTCCATTGTTTTCCCCCTACCATCCCCTCCCTCCCTCCCTTCCCCGAGGTTCTTTTTTTTTTTTTTTTTTGATTGTGATTAAATGATTACATAATTTCAAAGTCACAAGTTCATTCTAACTTCCCTGGAGCAAATTGTCTACCACAGTCTGTAATATATAACAGTGTTCACATGTTATGTACCATATTTGTGATCAGCAGCATGAGGATATTTAGTAGTGGTTCAACCAGATGAGCGGGAGTTCTTTGTTTCTTAAGTCCTGTTAGTTTTGTCGTATCACCTAACCTTTTGGATTTAGCATCCACTTATGAGGGAGACCATGTACCGTTTGTCTCTTCGTTCTTGGCTTACCTCGCTCAACATGATTCCTTCTAGCTCCATCCATTTCCCTGCAAATGCCATTATTTTGTCATTTCTAATGGCTGCATAATATTCCATTGTGTATAGATACCACAATTTTTGGATCCATTCATCTGTGGTGGGGCACCTAGGTTGTTTCCATATCCTAGCTATTGCGAACAGTGCTGCAATAAACATGGAGGTGCACGTGTCCTTGTATATTGGTTCCTGTTGTTCAGGGTAGATGCCTAGAAGTGGTATGACTGGGTCGTAAGGGAGGTCAATCTTTAGCTTTCTAAGGACCCTCCAGACTGCTTTCCAAAGTGGTTGTATAAGAGTACATTCCCACCAGCAGTGTAATAGGGTTCCTCTTTCTCCACATCCCCTCCAGCATTTGTCGTTGGCTGATTTGTGGATGTGGGACATTCTGACTGGGGTAAGGTGGTATCTCAGGGTTGTCTTTATTTGCATTTCCTTCACCACCAGGGATGATGAACATTTCCTCATGTGTTTCTTTGCCATTTTTATTTCTTCATTTGAGAAGTCCCTCTTTAGTTCCCTTGCCCATTTAGTAATTGGTTTGTTAGGTTTGGGAGGGATTAGTTTCTTGAGTTCCCTGTATATACAGGATGTTAACCCCTTGTCTGATATATTGCTGGTAAATATTTTTTCCCAATTAGTTGGTTGTCTTTCTAGCTTAGTTGCGATAGATTTAGCTGTGCAGAAGCTTTTTATTTTAAGGTAGTCCCATTTGTCGAGTCTCTCTCCAACTTGTTGTGACCCTGGGACTCTGTTCAGGAAGTTCCTTCCTGTGCCTATTAGTTCAAGTGTCTCTCCTACTCTGTCCTGCAGTAGTTTCAGAGATTCAGGTTTAATGTTAAGGTCTTTAATCCATTTTGAGTTGATGTTGGTGCATGGTGATAGGCTGGGGTCCACTTTTAGTTTTCTGCATGTGGCTGCCCAGTTTTCCCAGCACCAGCGGTTGAAGAGGCTGTGTTTCTTCCATTGTATGTCTTTGGCTCCTTTGTCGAATATCAGCTGGCTGTAGGCCTGTGGATTTATATCTGGATCTTCTATTCTGTTCCATTGGTCTTCGGGTCTGTTTTTGTGCCAGTACCATGCTGTCTTTGTGATTATAGCTCTGTAGTAGAGTTTGAAGTTCGGCATGGATAGCCCTCCCATATTGTCTTTATCCCCTAGAATTGTTTTGGCTATTCTAGGTCTTTTGTTGTTCCATATAAATTTTTGGACTGTTTTCTGTATTTCAGTGATGTACGTCATTGGGATTTTAATAGGAATTGCATTGAATTTGTATATTAATTTTGGAAGTATCACCATCTTTACTATATTAAGTCGGCCTATCCAGGAGCATGGGAGGTCTTTCCATTTCCTAGTGTCTTCTGCAATTTCTTTCTTTAACTTTTTATAGTTCTCATTAAATAGTTCTTTTACATCTTTGGTTAGGTTAATTCCTAAATATTTTATTTTTTGGGAGGTTATTGTGAATGGGGTTGCTCCCTTTATTTCCCTCTCTTCCTGTGCGTTATCAGTGTATAGGAAGGCAACTGATTTTTGTGGGTTTATTTTGTATCCTGCTATTTTGCCGAAGTGACTTATGATTTCTAAAAGTTTGGGGATGGAGTTTTTGGGATCGTGGAGGTATAGTATCATGTCGTCTGCAAAAAGGGATAGTTTCACTTCTTCTTTCCCTATGCGGATCCCTTTAATGTCTTTTTCTTGCCTTATTGCCCTGGCTAAGGGTTCTAGGACTATGTTGAAGAGGAGTGGAGACAGTGGACATCCTTGCCTTGTTCCTGTTTTTAGGAGGATTGGTTGTAGCTTTTCCCCATTAAGTATAATATTGGCTATTGGTCTGTCATAAATGGCTTTTATTGTTTTTAGAAATGTTCCTTCTATTCCTATTTTCTCCAGAGCTTTTAGCATGAATGAATGTTGAATTTTATCAAAGGCCTTTTCTGCATCTGTGGCGATAATCATGTGATTCTTGACCTTGGCTCTGTTGATATGCTGGATTACATTTATTGACTTACGTATGTTAAACCATCCCTGTGTCTCTGGGATGAAGCCTACCTGATCATAGTGTATTATTTTTTTTATGTGTTTCTGGATTCTGTTAGCTAGAATCTTGTTAAGGATCTTTGCATCTGTGTTCATCAAGGAGATTGGCCTGTAATTCTCCTTTTTGGTTGGGTCTTTGCCTGGTTTGGGGATGAGTGTGATATTGGCTTCGTAGAATGAGTTTGGGATAGCTCCCTCCTTCTCTGTTTCTCTGAAGAGCTTGAGGAGTATGGGTATTAGTTCTTCTTTAAAGGTCTTATAGAATTCTGCTGTGAATCCATCTGGTCCTGGGCTTTTTTTTGTTGGAAGACTTTTGATAGCTTCCTGTATCTCATTATAGGATATTGGCTTATTTACTTGGTTAACTTCTTCTTTGCTCAGTTTGGGTAACTTGTATTTCTCTAAAAATGCATCCATTTCCGCCAGATTTTCTTCCTTTAGAGAGTATAGCTTTTGAAAGTAGTCTGTTAGAATTGTTTGGATATCTTGTGTGCGTGTTGTGATGTTTCCCGTGGCATCCCTAATCCTATTAATATGGGTTTCCTCTCTTCTTTTTTTAATTAATCTTGCCAACAACTCCTCTACATTTAACATATACAGTTAAAGAAAGCTGAAAGATAAAACCTGATTTTGTTAGTGGCAGGAATGTAACACAGATCCTTGGGAGTCTAAGACCAGTGTGCATTTTCCATACAAATAAGCTTGCTTTTAGATCAGTTCTGGACTTTTTCTACAGTTGCCAAGACAAGGCACTACAAAGGCCACATTATCAGTGGTGATCAAGAAGACATATTCAGATTTGGATAAAGTTTCTGTGGCCCTGTGCCTGTGACAGGCTTAGCATAGCCATGGTTGTAGGCTACTGGGCCCCTAATAACTCTTTTTCCTTTTCCTACTTCATCATCCTTTCCAAAGCTCATCTAACAAGTTGATGCTCTGCTACCCTTCTTGTTTAATCTACAATAACCAAAACCAAACAAAATTACAGGGCTTGGGATGTATTCTTCCACTTAATGGCAGAGCTCTTGCCTACCACATTTGAGGGTTCAATCTTTCAGTTTACAGAAAACCAAAAGGAGAGGGAAATTGTTTATCTAATGGACAATTAAGAATTAGTAGACTCCAAGTATTACATACTATACATTTAAAGATGCAAATATTAAAATTCACTGTATAAAAATTACATGGTGGCCAGGCGCCAGTGGCTCATGCCTGTAATCCTAGCTACTTAGGAGGCTGAGATCTGAGGAGGATCAGGGTTCAAACAAAGTCAGCCTGGACAGGAAAGTCCATGAGACTCTTATCTCCAATTAACTACCAGAAAACCACAAGTGAGGTGTGGCTCAAGTGGTAGAGTGCTTGCCTTGAGCTGAAGAGCTGAGGGACAGCACCCAGGCCCAGAGTTCAAGCCCCATGACTGACAAAAAAAAAAAAAATTACATGGTGGCTCAATGTTGTGGTGCCAGCACTTGGGAAACTAAGACAGGAGTATCTCAACTTAAAGACCAGAGGTTACAATAGCAAATCTGAGTCAAGCGAGGACTATATATAGCAAGACCCTGTCTCAAAAAAAACAAAAAACGGGGCGAGTGAAGGAGAGAAAATATAGACATGCTGCATTAATAATGCAAAGACTTGAAATAAGAAACTGCAAGGCAACTTTCAAATATTTTATTTTTAGTGTTTTTAAACATTTTAATACAACAAAGATATAAAATAATATATTAGTTAAATCTGGATTTAATTTAGAATCAAAATTTACTTATGTACAATACTGTGCTTCAGGTATGGCTACCACAGAAGCTTTCATATCTTCAAGTAATACTAGCTTTTCTGTGGATGGGAGACTTTTAAATAGAATTCTTAAAACTAAACATGCCCAAGCTAACTTTCTTTCCCCACTATGAGTTTCCACTTCCCTTGTTCCATATCAGAAATATTTCACTGCTGTTAACAATCCATAGATTCTCTGAATGAAAAATCATTAAAATGAAACATTTTAAAGATAATCTTACTAACTGATAATATTACTGATAATTATAATATGTCCTGGCTCTGTTGAGTTGTTCAGACATTCTAGTCCAGACTGAAACTATGCTATTTTCTTTGTATTGGGTACAAAACTTCCTTATGCTGAGGCATGGAATACATTGAATAAAAAGTCCTTTGGTTGACTTGGAGCAGAATGTATTCTAAAACCCAACTTATTGAAAGCTTAAGTAATGGCTTATAGATTTCATATATTTGTGTTAAACTTGATACAAGTAATAATTCAGTTACTCAAAATTAGTATGCTAATTTTATCCATGCTAATGTTAGTCATTCAATGTCACTCACAGAGAGGAAACAAAAACCAATTCACTCATCTCTAGAACTATTCTGACCTTTGATGTTATTAACATATCTCCACTATAGAGATACAGGAGAAATTCAGGCTAAATTTTTATTAATAGTATTTCTATAAAATGCCAAGTAAAGCTGGTATTAAAACCTCACCTCGTTACTTTCAAACTAGCTTTCAAACTGCCTAAATGAAATCAACAGTTTAAGAAAGTAAATGTACTAAAGAGCTTTCTTGTCTCAAATGCCTGAATATCTTAAAGAACTGACAAAAAACTGCAGATCATAAGAATGAGATAATTGCAATTGTATAAAATCAATGAGTTTAAATAAAGAATATGATTAACATTCTTAGCTGGGTGTGGTGACTAGCTACTCAAGAGGTGGGGATTGGGAGGATAAAGGTTTAAGGCCAGCCCTGATAAAATAGGGGAACTCATCTTACCCAGTTAGCCGAGTGTGGTGTCATGTGCCTGTCATCACAGTTACGTGGAAAATGTAAATAGGAGGATCAAAGTTCTGGCTGGTTGGGCATAAATACTAGACATTATCCCAAAAATAAACTTTAAAACAAAATAAAGCAAAAAGAGTACAGAGGCATGCCTCAAGTGGTAGAGTGTTTGTCTAGCCAGCTTTTGGCCCCAAGTTCAAGCCCTAATATCACCCAAAACAAAAAAGGAATATGGTTAACATTCTTAAGTATTTTGGATCAAGAACCCTTCAAATGAATGATGAAATTGCCTTTTGCTGAATAGTCAAAGCAAGTTTATGTTATACATATAACTTTGTGAATGTATGAATGATACTTTTAAAACGTATGTTCCTAAAAGACTGTCTTTTTTTTTTAATCAGCTATAAAAGCATTTCCTTCCTCCTCGATTACCCATTTACAAATTATAGAGGCTGTGTTTTCAGCAGCTCTCTCAGGCAGTATGTTTGTTTGGGACTAGTCTACATTTATTTAACTGGCTGGTTCTCAGGCTACCTCATTGCTTTCTCATTTGGAGACACAGGACTATACAGAGCCAGCATTTAGAAGTTGCATTTTATCATTTCTGGTCAGAAAGAATTATGAAGAGCCATGTTGAGAGTGATGTAGCACAGACAAAAAGGCTTTTTCTAAAAAAATCTGGTAATACTGCCAAACTTGCCTTCTTTACAACCTCTTATTCCCCACCAACTTCAATTACCTTTAAGTAATACTATACCCTGTCTGATCTTAAAAAAAAAAAAAAAAGATGGAAAAAGGGGAAAAAAGAAGAGAGGCATCACTGCTCTCAGGAACACAGAAAATGCATGAAAGACTTTCAATGTAACTTCCAGTGTCCATTCCTGAATCCAAAACTTTTGGTTCCTTCTGTAGTAAGGAATCAAAAGATAGTGTTTTTCAAAATATACAAGACTACAACTGCAGAACCAAATAGAACATTAAAAAAAAAAGTAGACCAAAGTCACATAGCTTCTTCACCCAGCCACATCCAAAATGTAAACATAAATTCTACCTTCACTACAATTAACATTTTAACAATAAAAGCAGTAAAAACAAAAATCTGGAAACTTCTGGACAAAGTAAAAAACAACTAAAATGCATGTTTCTCATAAAGATAAACAGCTGAAAATAATTCGGTCTCAAAGGTTTCTAAGAAAGAAATTTCTGTAAACACTGCCTTATAATAATTGTTATAACAATAAGTGATAAGTCTAGCTTACCTTTTTCTCAAAACAGACAGTAGTAGTACAAGGCTGAAAGTTATCTTATAATCCTCACTGCAGTCTGTAGTTAGGCACTCTCAATGTCAATAGCTCTGCAAAGTTAGCTGCATTTATTTTTCTATTTTGTTCTACAATAGAATCCACATGAAGGAAAGAAGACTGATGTTAGGACGTTTACCATCAAGAGCTATTAAACTTCTTAAAATTAATGATGACAGTTTTTGAACATTTTTTCAAAAGCTAACATCAGTCTCTCCCTAGCTAAACTCAATCTTGCTCTGTCATTTGAAGGGGAAAAAATAGTAGTTACCATCTTCCCCCCACTCTGATACTCAGTCTTTAACTCAAGAGATCTCAAGCTCACTCAGGAGCTTTCTTGCTCACAGCAGGTGTCATACCATTTTAACCATGCCTCCAGCCTATTTGCTGGTTAGCTGCAGATGGAATCTATCAGACTTTTGTGCTCAGGCTGGCTTCAAACTGAGATCCTCCAGGTCTCACCTTTGAGCAGCTAGGATTACAAGCATGAGCCACTGGCACCAGGCTGTTAATAGACTTTGACTTCAAAATACTCAGAGTATATGAAACATCCTTTATTCTTTAGCAGTAGCTAAAACGTACTTTCATTATATTTCTTCCCTATCCAATTTATCTAGGCTCTTCGGTAGCATATATAGGAGGGTTAGGACCATTACTCAAAGTGCAAAATTAAAATATTTCACCCAGATAAGGAAGGAGCAGGTTTCTGCTATTGTCTAATTTTAGACCTCAGTCTGCCAGCATCTTCTGCAATTCCATAATTTAAAATGAAATGTAAAAACCACACAATATGTTCACCGTCTAAGTACATCAGTTGGGAAATCAACTTCCAATTCTACAGCCATACTAACACTGCTAGTAATGTAAAAATCCTTAAAATAAAGTGACAAATGTTATCAGAGGTGAAATTACTTACTATACTAAATTTCTGGATTGTAAACAGGAGTTATATAATTTTCTGATTGCCAATTAATACTATAAAAATGTATTTACACATTAAAAAAATAAAAAACAACAAACTTTCTTTTTTGTATCCAACTATGTCTCAGATTATTTACTTCTGACAGTTAAGAATGAGAAATTTCAAAAACAAAAAAAAAATTAACACTATACCTACAATCTTTTCATTTCTTTTCAGAAGACGAAAAAATCTGCATGCAAACTTCCCTTACTGACAAGAACTTTTAACATTTCATAAAACACTCTTATTTGGCTCATTACATAACACCATTAAAAAAGTGTTACATCGTGCTGTCATCTCTCTAACAATTACAGCACAAAGTTATTTCAGGTCCATACACCACCTAAATTACATCAATTTATTATTATGAATGCAGTCATCTTTCCCTCATGAATACTTACTGATGTTCTCACTGAACCTTCAGCACAAAATAGGAATTGCATTTTTTGTTGCATCTTTGGTGGAAAATGCTAGCCCTACATGTGCATTAATGAGAAGGCCAGTGACATCCTCATCAGTGTTTTGTCATTTCATGCGTGGCTACTCGCATTCTCTTGTTTCAGGCTTACTAGTTTGAACTCAGGACCTTGTACCAGTATACTTTGCTTAAAGATGATTCAGAAAGCAAAAAATATTTGTCAATAAAACACTTTCTAGATAGACATAGAGATTAGCTCAAAAAGCAAGTAGTGTTCACTTAGTAAGGTGTTTTCCTTTTGAAGATAATAAAGAGGTTAAAAAAGTATTATTTCTTAACTGAAGTCCTACTAGAAATCAATAAAAACTCTTCAGCCAACAAGCTGTTAAAATTGGTTTGCTTACGTTCATTCATTAAGCAAATACTCAATAAGTAAGAGTAATAGCCTGACAAGAATCAAACATGAGTCTTCCTAAAGTGAAAGGGCAGAAAAACTCTACTTAAACTTTCTGTTCACACAACTAAGTAAGAACTCTTATTCATTCTTTTTTTGTTTGTTTTTTTTCTTTTTCTTTTTTTTAAATAATTACAGGCTTGCTCAGAACTAGCAAATCTGTCAACATGTAAGCCAAGATGCAATACATTCAGACATCCAGGAACAACCTGGGAGAGAAAGCAAAGTTACTCATTTTTAACAACTATGTATTTAACCATGAACTCATTACAAAGAAGATACAGTCTTCATCCAATTAGTCTTTTCATTATTGCTGGTTTTGAAAATGGCCAACAATATTCATTAGGTACTGTGCCATTAACATTGCATTCAAAAAAAGAAAACATGGGAAACCAAATTCTTGCTCTCCTACTCTGCTGATAAGCTCTGGTATTGGCCAGGGTATGGTAGTACAAAAAGAGTCTTGTTGTTATATAAAAGGCAATAAACACATCAATTGAATAATGTTCATGAGCAGCCAAGATGAAGAAGATTCCAAAGAGGTTGAGAACCCAGGATAAAGTATGTAAGAAATTCCAGCTTCTTGGTGTATCTATGGAAAAGACAGAAATATCATTTTAAGACTACATTCCTTCCAGAGCTTTTAAGACACATAATTCTTAGGCTAGGCTGTTTAGCATGCTCTTTATATAGAATTTTAGACCCTCCCCAAGCCTCCCCTATAGTTAATTGTCTACCATGTACAGAATTAAAGAGATACTTACATTCTGTGACAAAGAAATTCAGCATTGTTAGGACAACAGTGTGGCCACTGAACATGTAATCTCCACAAGTATGCACGCCAGTCAGGGTCATACCAAAGCCACTCCAAATGGCAAAGGCCCGGTGTAATTTCTCCCATACACTGCCATATATCTATAAAGAAAGCTGCAGTTTAGTGTTTCAACCACTAAGGGAGATAAAAGTTTCCCAGCATCCATTCCCAGAGAAACTCAAATGAGGAATGACTTAGAAATAATCGAATCAAAAGCAACCAGTGTCCTAACCTAATTAGTCCTAGCCTAATTAATTCCACATTTATTTCAAGAATGAATGGTCAAAATTTGGCTATATCCAGAAAGAAATGTGAGAATTAAGTGGAATCACTGTAATGCAAACTCCTTTATAATAAACAGGTTATTATAACACAAGAATATCTCTAAGTTTTTAGTTCAATATTATTAGAACATTAGTGCTAGACACACTGCATTTTCCAGCATCTCTTGCAGCTAGATGTGGCCAAAATTTTGTAATAAGATGTAAGAATAATTACAAAGGATTTCTTTTTTTTATTGTGAAAATACTGTACAGAGGGGTTACAATTACATGTGCAAGATAATGAGTACATTTCTTATCAAGCATTGTAGCCTCCTCCTTTGTTTCCCCTTCCCATCCCTTCCCATCCTCCCACCGCCCCCCAATTATAAAGGATTTCTCAGAAGAGATTTATAAAGAAATGAGATAATAGCTCAGGAAATCTTTTCTACTATTATGTCTTTCCTTCTTTAGGTCTGTTCCTCAGACATGATAGCTAGAGCTCTAGTAGCTACCCTGGACCACAAGTGGCCTTGAAGATGCAAGCCAATTATTAGGTAGGATAGACTAAAGGTAGAGACTAATAGGTTTCTGATGACTATTCTATAGTTATCATGCTAGGCCTGAACTACCTATATTCAGACTTCATGCTTATTACCAACCAGCCATTTTGAATTTCCAGCTCTCAACTCTTATATATACACTTCAAAAAAAAAACATTTTGAGGAAAGGCTTGAGCTCAGAATAGCTTAAAAAGGGGCTGGGAAGGTGGCTCAGTGGTAGAGTGCTTGCCCTGAATGCCAGAGGCCCTGGGTTCGATTCCTCAGCACCACATAAGCAAAAAGAAAAAAGCCGGAAGTGGCGCTGTAGCTCAAGTGGTAGAGCATTAGCCTTGAGCTGAAGAGCTGAGGGACAGTGCCCAGGCCCAGAGTTCAGGCCCCACGACCGGACCCAAAAAAATAAAAAAAAAAATAAAAAAAAGAATAGCTTAAAAAGAAGAGAGTTACTTTTTAAAATGGACTCAACAGGCTGGGGGGCCGGTGGCTCATGCCTGTAAACTTTGCTACTCAGGAGGCTGAGATCTGAGGATTGCAGTTCAAAGCCAGCCCTGGCAGGAAAGTTCATGAGACTCTTATCTCCAAATAACCACTAGAAAACCGGAAATGGCACTATGGATCAAGTGGTAGAGTGCTCGCCTTGAGCTAAAGAGCTCAGGGACATTGGCCAAACCCAGAGTTCAAGTCCTGCACTGACCAAAAAAAAGGCACTCAACATATAAAAATGTTATGAAAAGCTGCTAAAATTGTATATCCATTTATTACATACAAAGCATACTGATAAATCTTTAATATGCTACTAGACGTAATCTCTGAAAAAGTTCTATAAAGTAATTCAATTTGCAGATGAGCAAAAGGCTATCACACAACTAGGAAGTAACAAAGTCAGGACATGCACTTGGGAATCCAATTCCAAAGCCATTTGTCTTTGCTTGGCAGCACTAAGGTTTCAACTCTCAGGGGCTCATACTTATATACAAGTGTTCTACCATTTGAGCTACACAAAGAACCCTTATTTGCTTTCATTTGTTTTTCAGATAAGAGTCTCATGATTTTGTTAGGCCTGCTTCAGACAACAACCATTCTACTTCCACTTTGCAATATCTGGGATTACAGGCATGAACCACCATATCTAACCCCCCCCCCAAAAGATTCTACTGTGGCTAATACTGCTCCCCTCAAAAACAAAAACAAACAAACAACAACAAAAACAACAACTTTATTAGATGTCATAACCTCATCAGAAATCTTAACTGTTAGGCTGGTGGTGCAACCCAAGTGGCAAAGTGTTTGCCTTACATTTGCAAAGCCCTGAGTTCAGTACCATCACAATCACCATACCATCATGAAAGAGAGAGGGAGGAAAATCTTATTTGCTGATTGTACACTGCTCTGATTTGTTTACCTTTCTGCCTCAGCTGAGTCAGAGAGGTAGCAAATTTTTTACTAGAGAAAAAGAAAGTATTAACAAATATATGTCATTTGGTTTTTTCATGACTGCTATAATCAGTATATAAAAGGTTATACTTGGGGGGCTGGGAAGATGGCTCAGTGGTAGAGCGCTTGCCTTGCATGTCTGAGGTCCTGGGTTCGATTCCTCAGCACCACATAAGCAAAATGAAAAAAGCCGGAGGTGGCGCTGTGGCTCAAGTGGTAGAGCGCTAGACTTGAGCTGAAGAGCTGAGGGACAGCACCCAGGCCCAGAGTTCAGGCCCCATGACCGGACCCAAGGGGAAAAAAAAAAAAAAAGATGTTATACTTGGAAGTGGCGCTGTGGCTCAAATGGTAGAGCGCTTGCCTTGAGCTGAAGGGCACAGGGATAGCGCCCAAGCCCAGAGTTCAAGCCCCATGACCGACAAAAAAAAAAAAAAAGTGCAAAAAGATGTTACACTTAAGAAAGTAAAAATCATGTAGAGAAGAAACTGTTAGGAAACTATCTCACAAGAACAGGGAACAGTGATATCTCAGTAAGTCTCCCATCCTTTTCCATTTAAAATATGTCACATAGGGGCTGGGAAGTTGGCTCAGTGGTAGAGCGCTTGCCTTGCATGCCTGAGGCCCTGGGTTCGATTCCTCAGCACCACATAAGCAAAAAGAAAAAAAGCCGGAAGTGGAGCTGTGGCTCAAGTGGTAGAGCACTAGCCTTGAGCTGAAGAGCTGAGGGACAGCGCTCAGGCCCAGAGTTCAGACCCCACAACCGGACCCCCCTCCAAAAAAAAAAATCTCATATATTTTTATAGAAAATCAAAAGGGAAAAAAGCAGAATGAGTAGGATACTCTAATCAGACAGGCATAGAAATTTGCTTTAGGTATTCCTAAATTTCAGAAAAAGGAATATTGTTGATTCTGTCTTGGTTCTGTGATTTCAAGCAACTTATTAATTACAAAGAAAATTACAAAGTTCAGTTTAAGGAATTTTCATTGCTGGCTGCTATCTCCTTAATTTTCTATTTTTAATGCTTATTGCAAATAATACAGGTCAATAAGTAGGTTATAATATAATCAAAGCAATTAACAGTATTTAGGGCAGATTTGAATAGAAATACCCATATATAAGTGATAATGGAAAAGAGTCACCAGAGACAGAAAAATACTGCTCACACTGCAGAGGAATGGTATCTAATTTACTTTTGTAGCACATTTCAGCCTTACATATACACCCATCCTTCTCTTTCAGTGGCTGCTCTAAAATTACATCCTTCAGTAACAGGAAAATCTCTTGTTTTGTAGAAGAGTAAAATACCTAACTCCAAATATACTTACTTGGGATATTTGGAACTGGTTATTCAGAGAAATTGCAAACAGAAACATAGGGGAAAAAAAATCTTTTCTTTGGTAAAAGAATTTTACAGCTATCAGTAAACATAAGCAACATATACACACCAAGTTGAGATTTTCTCTGAAGTGAGCCTAGGAAAGACCTTCTAGGAAGACGAGATTGGGGATCTGATACCTATCCCAGACAGAAGGAACCACAGGTGGCATCATGAGATAAACTTTATTTGCGACCACCTTTAGCTGAATGTGGTGGCACATGACTACAAACCCAGCATTCAGTTGTCTGAGGAAAGAAAACAAAGTCAAGGCTAGCCTGGGCTACTCAGAGAGCTCAAGGCCACCCTGAAGTACACAGCAAGACCTTGTCTCAAAACCAAAACAAAACCAAGCATACAAAGATAGCCTTTGATGGTCATGTAGTTCCTCTCTCCTGAACCTCCCTCTAGGGCTGCTTCTCGGAGAACCCCAAGTCTTAATTGCTTTGTGTAATGCAAGATGGAAACTTTAATCATCTGGCAAGTCTCATACTTTGTGATAGCTGATGAGCTTCTGTAAGTCTGTATGACTTTTTCTCCTGTTAGTCTATTGCCAACTTATTTCCTGTTCTAGTCTTACTTTCACTCTGCATACAAGAAATACATTCAAAGCAGATTACATATAAATATTTTTTTTATTTTTTATTCTTTATTTTTTTACCCTAACCCTAACCCACATTTAAATATTTTTAAAAGACCATAAAATTATCAGATATAATCTTTTATGTATCAGATAGCAGACAAGGAGTAGGAAAATCCATGTGCACAAAATTAATAGCAGTAAAAAACTGCTCTATTTTGAGTTTTAGATCAACCTTTGTCAAAGGTTGTTTACAGTTGCTGTTTACATTGTTTACAGTGCTTACAGTGTTTGCCTATTTTCTTTTTTTGGGTCCGGTCGTGGGGCCTGAACTCTGGGCCTGGGCGCTGTCCCTCAGCTCTTCAGAAGCTCAAGGCTAGCGCTCTACCACTTGAGCCACAGCGCCACTTCCGGCTTTTTTCTTTTTGCTTATGTGGTGCTGAGGAATAGAACCCAGAGCCTCAGGCATGCAAGGCAAGCGCTCTACCACTGAGCCACCTTCTCAGCCCCTGCCTATTTTCCTTACAGGGAAAAATAGACATAGCCAAAGAATGGGGTCAAGATAAGGTTACACTATCTTCATGGTAAAATACTAAATGTTGCTCTGAACAGTCTCTTTTAATGTAATATATATTCATGTCTACTTTAACGTAATATATATTCATGTTTTATACAAAATATTAAAATAACTAGGTCCTACATTTATTTTCTTTCCTAATCTAATTTCAAAAGCAGAGTTTAAATTTCTTTTCTTTTGTGGTTTCAAAAGAATGAGTTTTAGAAAAAGGCCAGAAATGTCTGACAGAGAAGCCTATAGACATATGTATATATATGAAACAAAACAATATCAGAAGAATGAGTACCACTCTGATGACTGTTTTTGAATGATAAACTCATTATCAATGTATGTGGAACCCAAAGGAAACATACCTGAAGGCTTAATGTCATTCTTCAGAAAAAAGTCAAATTATTTAGAAATGTGAAAGTATCTTTGTCCAAATAAGTGGCCTAGAAACTCAAATGGGCAATTTAGGAATACATATCAGATTTTTTAATGTGCATGCTCTCTAACTCCACAATTTTACTTTCAGTAACTTAAGGAAATATACAAAGTACAAATGAATGTGGATGTTTACTACAGCATTTCTTATAAGTAGTAAAATTTGAAAAACAACTAAAATGTATGCCATCTAGAGACTGGAAAAAAATATTGCACATCTGTTAAGCTAAATATGGTTACATGCATTTCTTCTGAAAAAAGATACTGACATTATTAAATTAAAAACAAGATACTTAGAACAATGCTGTAATAAAATATTTTAAATGGATCTATCTAGCTAAGCTGGACACTAGTGTCTCACACCTGTAATTCTAGCTACTAAGGGAGGTAAGATCTAGAGGATGTAGGTTTGAAGCCAGCCTAAGAAGAAAAGTCAGAGAGACTTCATCTCCAAAAATAGTCAGCCAAAAGCTGGGTGATGGTGGCTCATGTCTATAATCCTAGCTACTTAGGAGGCTGAGATCTGAGGATTGTGGTTCAAAGCCAGCTTGAGCTTGGGCAGGAAAATCCGTGAGACTCTTATCTCCAATTAATCACCAGAAAACTGGAAGTAGAACTGTGGCTCAAAGTAGTAGAGCCTTAACATAGAACAAAAGAGCTAAGGGATAGCACCTAGGCCCTGAGTTCAAGCTCCGGGACTGACAGAAAAAAAAAAGCTGTGTTGGGGGCAGGGCTCATGGCTCAAGTGGTAGAGTGCCAGCCAAGTAAGCTCAGAGCCTTGAGTTCAAATCCCAGTACCAGCAACAACAAAAAGAAAAAAAAAAAGAGGATCTACCTATATAAACTTACATAATCAGTAAGTCTGCTTAATAAATGGTTACCACATTAATAAAAAAAAAAAAGTCTCTATGGGTATACACAATACTGTTAACAGTACTGCTTGTAAAATGAAAAAAACGGATTTTCTTTTTTTCTTTTTCTTTCTTTCTTTTTTTTTTTTGGTGCCAGTCCTGGGCTTGAACTCTGGCCCTGGTTGCTATCCCTGAGCTTTTTTGCTCAAGGCTAGAGCTCTACCACTTGAGCCACAGCTCCACTTCTGGCTTTTTTTTCCCTTTGGTGGTTAATTGGAGTTAAGAGTCTCATGGACTTTCCTGCTCAGGCTGGCTTCAAACCTCGATCCTCAGGTCTCAGCCTTATGAGTAGCTACAATTATAGACATGAGCCACCAGTGCTGGTCTTCTTTTCACTTTTTAATGCATACATTTCTATATAATTTGAATTTTTATAGTAAGCTTATAGAACTTTATATTAGTAAAAAAAAATTTCCATTTTGACGACAAAACCTCCAAACATCTTTTATCTTAAATTTTTTTTTTTTACTTGTCATATTACACCATCTCCTTTTCCTTAGGGCTCAACCTAAGTATTCCTAACACCTGGAGAAGTTTGTTACCTTTTAGCTCAAGGGTATTATTTTTAGTTCTTGATCTCCTTTGGATTCATAATCTTTCTTAGAGGCACATCAGCTATTTATATTACAGTACAGAAACTGATATCTTATTTTGTCTTTCAAACACCATTGAAACATCAACAAGACTGTTGATATATTCATCTAAATATTTGGGAACTAATACATCAAAGTTTAAACACAATAAATTTTTTTCAAATTTAACCAGTCACAATAAACCATTTCACATATCAAAAACAACTGAGACAGAAGCGAAAGTATGACTCAAGTGGCAAAGGACCAACCAGCCTGATCAAAAAATGAACAAGTGAGGGGCTGGTTCCAGTCTTGCACAGGCAATCCTAGTTATTCCCAAGGCTGAGATCTGAGGATGGAAGTTAAAATCCAGCCCGATAGAAAATCCAAGAGACTCCAACCAGCAAAGTGACAGGCAATAGATATGGTTCAAGTGTGAAAAGTGCCAGCTGTGAGAAAAAAAAGCTTCAGGAGAACTACAGGCCCTCATTTCAAGACCCACTGTGTGTGCACGTATACACACAGACACAGACACACACACAGACAACACACACACAGAGGCATGAGATAAGTTTAAAAACTTTTAAAGTAATTCATAACCTTCTTTTTGTGTTCCCATTAGCATAATTTCTCATCTTCTGTTTAACCAGAGACATAATATATCTATAGCACATCACAAGTCACAAAGTACAAAAAATAAAAACTATTATTTTGCATATCCCACAAGGAGTTTAAGTGGAATCAAAGTACAAAAAATAAAAACTATTATTTTGCATATCCCACAAGGAGTTTAAGTGGAATATGCTCAAACTACAACATCTAAAAAATGGGAGTGAAGAAGACAAAGATGGGACCAGAATAAGTCATACGCAGATGCAAAAATGCTGAGAATAATGAGAAAAGAAAATGTAGGAAAAGGAGATAACTGAAACCTTTTTCTTTAGCTCAAAAGCATCAAACTAATGACCATAGATAGAAATAACAGGGGGATAAGTGTCCAGTTTAAGATTGTTACCCGATTATTTCCAAAGGTTTACTAAAGATACTGCAAATACCAGAAAGTATATTTTATAGTAAAAGCATAATCTTAGCACTATTACATATATTGTGCCATCAATTCAAAAAGTAGGTAGCAGGCTACCTTTCCAGTACACTGCAGGTGCTGTCCTGGCACGGAGAGGGAGGTCACAAACATGGTAAAGCAGCGAAGCAAGAATACAGTGCCCATCAGACTACAGAGCCTTCGAAGAAGAATTGACCTGTGAACAAAGTGACCAAAGGGGGAAGATCAGAAGAAACCACACCAAAAACAAAACAAAAAGCGCAGTCATTAAATGCTTGCCTAAAGAGAAAGCAAGCAGAAAAACTACTAGTGTTTTGAAGAGGTCCAGGATGTTAAGAGATAATCAAGCATCATTATCCAACAAAATTCTTCAGTGATAGAAATGTTCTAACTACATTGTCCATTCATAGAGCTGCACTGGCTCTTAAGTACTTAAAATGAGGCTAATATAACTAAGAAATTAAGCCTGAAAATTTTATTTCATTTTAATTAAATCCAATAGCTGTATGTGGCTAGTGTCTGACATGTTGAATTTAAGTTAGATCCTTTATGGTTAAGTGAATTTAAGTAAGAGGTAAAATGCTGCTCAGATTTACTGGCTATCTAATACTCAGTTTTCCTAACTTAAACATAAGCTATAAAATAATAAGCCCTTTTTTAAAAAACATCAAGTTTTTTTTGTTGTTGTTGTTTTGTTTTTTTGGCCAGTCCTGGGCCTTGAACTCATGGCCTGGGCTCTGTCCTTGAGCCTCTCTACACTCAAGCTAGGGCTTTAACCCCTTGAGGCACAGCGCTACTTTTAGCTTTTTCTATTTATGTGGTACTGAGAAATCGAACCCAGGGATTCATGCATGCTAGACAAGCACTCTATCACAAGCCACATTCTCAGCCCTAAAAAGCACCAAGTTTTTTGTTGTTGTTTTTGTCAGTCGTGGGCCTTGAACTCTGGGCCTCAGTGCTGTCCCTCAGCTCTCTCTTCAGCTCAAGGCTAGCACTCTACCACTTGAGTCACAGCGTCACTTCCAGTTTTCTGGTGGTTTATTGGAGATAAGAGTGTCATGGAAGTTTCCTGCCTGGGCTGGCTTTGAACAGTGGTCCTCAGATCTCCTGAGTAGCTAGGATTACAGGCGTGAGCCACAGATGCCCAGCGAAAGTACTAAGTTTTATAGTAAGTATATCTGAAAGAAATTGTTGATTATTGTAATTGGGTAATCATGAACTACACGAACTACACATTGAGACTCTCTCTTCCTTCCCCCCTCCCGTATTTTTTTTTTCATAAAAACAATGTCAATGCATTTATTGTCACCTGATAATAATGTAAGTTATTAAAACTGTATGAACAGTAGTGTCTCAATAACAAGGCTCATCAAAATAATATAAACAGATGTGTTCATTATTTTCCCAGCAAAGAACACTTTATGTATAGGATTCTTTTTTGTATGTGTTCTGGTCCTGGGGCTAGAACTTAGGACCTAGGCTGTCCCCTGGAGCCTTTTTGCTCAAGGCTAGACCTCTATCACTTAAACTGTACTTCTAGCTTTTTTTTTTTTTTTTTTTGCTGGTTGTGGGGCCTGAACTCGGCCTGGGCACTGTTCCTCAGCTCAAGGCTCAAGGCTCGCCCTCTTACCACTTGAGCCACAGTGCTACTTCTAGCTTTTTCTGCTTATGTGGTACTGAGGAATCAAACCCAGGGCCTCATGCATGCAAGGCAAGCACTCTACCACTGAGCCACCTTCCTAGTCTCTACTTCTAGCATTTTTGGTAGTTTATTGACCATAAGAGTCTCCCAGACGGGCTGGGAAGGGGCTCAGTGGTAGAGCACTTACCTTGCATGCATGAGGCCCTGGGTTCGATTCCTCAGCACCACATAAGCAAAAAGAAAAAAGCTGGAAGTGATGCTGTGGCTCAAGTGGTAGAGCGCTCGCCTTGAGCTGAAGAGCTGAGGGACAGTGCCCAGGCCCAGAGTTCAGGCCCCACGACCGGACCCCAAAAAAAAAAAGAGTCTCCCAGACTTTCTTGTCCCAGATGGCTTTGAACTGCGAGCCTCAAATCTTAGCCTCCTTCGTATTAGTAGCCTCCTAGAATTACAGGTAGGAGCCACCAGCACCCAGCCCAGTTGTTTTTTTGAGTTTGTTTTAGACTGAATTTTGTTTGTATCATTTAACATAAGGTTCATATACCCATCAAAACCAGTAATACAGCCCCCTATCCTCATATTCACTTGTTTACAAAGCCACACCTGAATCTGAAATCTGTTTTTGTAAGATCTGAAGATGAGGTTGATGAGCTGCACCATTTGACCCTGGCTGCAGTATGTTCTTTCTCCTAAATTCAAATGAACTGAGATGTGGGGAATCTTTTGCTTTTATATGTTTAAAAATGACCCTCCCCATGGGGCTGGGAAGGTGGCTCAGTAGTAGAGCACTTGCCTTGCATGCCTGAGGCCCTGGGTTCGATTCCTCAGCACCACATAAGAAAAAAGCCGGAAGTGGCGCTATGGCTCAAGTGGTAGAGTGCTAGCCTTGAGCTGAAGAGCTGAGGGACAGTGCCCAGGCCCAGAGTTGAGGCCCCACGACTGGACCCCCCCCAAAAAAAATGACCCTCCCAGGCCAGGCGCCAGTGGCTCATGCCTGTAATCCTAGCTACTCAGGAGGCTGAAATCTGAGGATCAGGGTTCAAAGCTAGCCCAGGCAGGAAAGTCCATGAGACTTTTTTTTTTTTGTCAGTTGTGGGGCTCCACGAGACTCTTTTCTCCAATTCACCATCAGAATACCAGAAGTGGCACTGTGGCTCAAATGGTAGAGCGCTAGCCTTGAGCTGAAGAGCTGAGGGACAGCGCCCAGAGTTCAGGCCCCACGACCGGACCCCCTCCCCTAAAAAAAAATGACCCTCTCTTATTCAAGAAAAAAGTATTGAGAGTTGGGTGTGGTGACACAAGTCTGTAATCTTAGCATTGGGAGACTGAGGCAAAGGATAAAAAGTTCAAGACCAGCCTGCCCAAAAGAAACTCTGCCTTAAAAACAAAACAAATGCATTGAATAAATTCTATGTATGTTTCAAATTTTGTGTGTACATCTGGAATGGAGTCCAGCAATCTGCTTTAACAACTCTAGATATGATTTTTTTTTTTGGGGGGGGGGGGGCCCCGGTCGTGGGGCCTGAACTCTGGGCCTGGGCACTGTCCTTCAGATCTTCAGCTCAAGGCTAGCGTTCTACCACTTGAGCCACAGTGCCACTTCTGGCGTTTTTCTTTTTGCTTATGTGGTGCTGAGGAATCAAACCCAGGGCCTCATGCATGCAAGGCAAGTGCTCTACCACTGAGCCACCTTCCCAGCCCAAGATATGATTCTTATAATACTAAGACCACAAGTAAAAAATACTTTCTTAACTAAGTAAATATTACACTTGTAGTTACCTGTACACTATAATGCTTTGCTGAACCTGCTAAGGATTCCTATAATGTAAGCTCTTTACTTTAAAAAGTGGGTAGTTTAAATGCACTAAATCTTGCGAGATAACAGAAAACAGTAGTGATACATGTATTTTCTTTTTTTGGTACTGGGGATAGAACCCAGGATGTTGCACTTGCTAAGCAAGCACTTTGCCACTGAGCTACATCCCAACCCTGATACACGTGTTTTCTAACCACCTCTAATTTTAAGCTACCCACAATTTAAAAGAGGACAAAATGGGATAGAAAGGCTCAGTATGGCCTCAAAGCACGACAGAAATAGCTATCATCAACCTTTCTGTTCACCTTCAAAGCACTGAAATAGCTGTAGCGTAGAATATCACAGCCATCACTCAGTACCTCCTGGTAAGAACAAAGAACCAAAAACTACAAGTGTCCTTATTCCCTTCCAGAATGTCAGAGACACTGGACAACACAGAATCACAAACTTTACAGTTCTTTAAAAATTGATCACTATGCCTTGGTTTCTACATAAAGAAATAATTCCCATTAAAGTAGGAAAGGAGACTCCCTCCCCGTGTATTTCCCTTATTAAATCAAAAAACTTCCTCTTTATATTCTTTGAGAAAGTGCCAAGAAGCATTCTCCCTATTTACCAACTTCCTATATCATCTGAAGCAAATCACACTTCAGATATACATGCTATGCAAAATAATCTCTCTATCTCTCTCTCTCTTTTGGCAGTAGTGGGGCTGGAACTCTGGGCCTGTGTGCTGACCCTCAGTTCAGCTCAAGGCTAGCGCTCTACTACTTTTGAGCTACACCTCCACTTCCATTTTTCTGGTGGTTAATTGGAGATAAGAGTCCCACAGACTTTCCTGCCAGGCTGTCTTTGAACTGCGATCCTCAGATCTCAGCCTCCTGAATAGCTAGGATTACAGGCGTGTGCCAGCAGTACCCAACTAATAATCTCTTCTTTTATTTTTTATTTTTATTTATTTATTTTTTGGGTCCGATCATGGGGCCTGAACTCTGGGCCTGGGTGCTGTCCCTCAGCTCTTCAGCTCAAGGCTAGCACTCTACCACTTGAGCCACAGCGTCACTTCCGGCTTTTTTCTTTTTGCTTATGTGGTGCTGAGGAATCGAAACCAGGGCCTCATGCATGCAAGGCAAGCGCTCTACCACTGAGCCACCTTCCCAGCCCCTAATCTCTTTTTTTAAATGGGAATTCTTCAAGCAGAGAACAAAACACTGTCTTTGGAGGAAATTTCTATCCTACAGAAAGTAACATCATTTCTGAATGTTTCTTTCATTAAAAAAAAAGAAAAACCGCCAAAGAAATGAAAAAAAAAAAAAAGAAAAACTTGAAAGACTATAACCATGGATGACCACTCCAACTCTCACTTTTTGCTGCAAATATACATTCAGAATATTATTAAAGGTATTTGGAGCTGAATACTAACCAAACACCAAACATTTTCCTTTGTCAAAAACTATGTCACATGGGGCTAGGAAGGTGGCTCAGTGGCAGAGCACTTGCCTTGCATGCTTGATGCCCTGGGTTCGATTCCTCAGCACCACATAAGCAAAAAGAAAAAAGCCAGAAGTTGCGCTGTGGCTCAAGTGGTAGAGCGCTAGCCTTGAGCTGAAGAGCTTATGGACAGCCCCCAGGCCCAGCATTCAGGCCCCACGACTTGATCCCACAAAAAAAAAAAAACTATGTCACACTGACCAGAAAAGGAAATGAAGCAGTAAAATACAAAGGGAGAGATGGAGTATCATGACTTGAGACAGAAGGGTCAAAACGCTTTCAGTCTTTAAGAGTTAAGCGAAGTACCTGTGCTTGTGAAGAAGGAGGACCAGAAGCCAAATATAGCACAGAATCACACCACACACTTCAGTCATCGCAAAGGCCCATGGAATTCTAGGAACACTGAAACACACAAAAAAATTTTTTGAACTGAATAGATGTTATCTTTTTCAATAAGATACTTTTCTAAAATTGTTCTATGTAACTTTTGCCTCTCTTATGGGAAAGATGTTTGGAAAGCATTGTTTCATAAAGTATCCCATCTATCAGAATATGCTGATTTTCTTGATTTCGAATCATGGTTTCCTTTAAAAAGGCACAACACTCTTTCCCATTCTGTAGTAAAGCTGACTTGGACAGAGTCCACAAAATAATGGGAGAAAGAAAAAGGCCTGTTTTCTGAACAATGTATATTTAGATACCTAACAATGAGGACAACTCTTTTTTTTTGTCGGTCATGGGGCTTGAACCCTGGGCTTGGGCGCTGTCCCTCAAGGCAAGCGCTCTACCACTTGAGCAAGAGCACCATTTCTGGTTTTCTGGTGGTTAATTGGAGATAAGAGTCCCACAGATTTTCTTGCCCAGCTGGCTTTGAATTGAGATTCTCAGATCTCAGACTCCTGAGTAGCTAGGATTACAGATATGAGCCACCAGCACCTGGCTCTTAACTCCTTTTGTTTTGGCAGTAATAGGGTCTGAACTCAGGACCTTGAACTTGCTTGGCTATTGCTCTACCACACCATCAGCCTGCTTTTTAGTAGTTATTTTGGAGATGGAATCTTACAGACTTTTCTGACCAAACTGGCTTAAATCTCAAACTTCTGAATCTCAGACTTCTGAATAGCTAGGATTTATAGGCATGGGCCACCAACATCTGGATCTATTTTTTTTTTGGGGGGGGGAGGGATGGGGGATAGTGTTCTGCTAACTTCCCCAGTTGGCCTCAAACTCTGGATCCTGCTGTCTCCAACTATTGAATAGTTGGGATTACATACATACACCACCACCATGTTGTTGAACTAGACCTTTTTTTTTTTTTGGTGCCAATACCAGGGCTTTAAATCAGGGCCTCACATTCTTGCTTGGTTTTCTTTCTTACAGCTGGCACCCAAATACTTTAGCCAACTCCAATCCACTATTTGCTAGTTAACTGGAGACTGAGTCTGGAGAATTTGCTGCCCAGACTGACTTCAAATCTTGATCCTCTAGAGTTCAAACTCTTGAGTGGCTAGGATGTCCAACTAAACTTGAAGTCATTTAAAGGAATCATTATCTGAAAATATCTGTTATGTGAGATAACTATTTTCACAGTAATGAGATAAATTGGCTTTGCTTACAGTCAGAAAATACATTTTTTGTTCCTGTTTTTAACCTACTTTGTCTGTCCTCCCTTAGTTTGCATCTTCTTATCTAATCCACTATGATTACCCACTAGTAAAAGTCAGGTCCAATTTCTTAAGTGAGGGATGGAGAAAGAGAGAGGAGGAGAAAGAAAGGGAGGAGGGAAGACACAACCTTTGGGTCTGGAAAACACTTTCTTTTGGGTCAGTTCTGGGGGATGAAGGGCCTGGGCAGCGTCCTTGAGCTTCTTTTGCTCAAGGCTAGCACTCTACCACTTGAGCCACAGTGCCACTTCTAGCCTTTTCTGTTTATGTGGTACTGAGGAGTCAAACCCAGGGCTTCATACATGCTAGGCAAGTACTCTACCACTAAGCCACATTGCCAGCCCAGAAACATTCTCACATGATACCTTAGATGATATTTCTCTTCTTTTCTCTATGAGTCTTTCTGTACTCCAATCTGATTAATTATTGGGACAAATGAATTGAGCTAACCTTTATTATTTTCCATCTCTTTGTTCTGTGTGCTGAATGATTTCATCAAATCTATATTCTAACTGTCCTATTGGATTTGAATTTTTCCTTCATTATTTTCTGAAAGCGTTTTCCTCTGAATTTTCCTTTTGTTGTTGTTGGTCATGGGGCTTGAACTCTGAACCTGGCCACTGTCCCTGAGCTCTTCAGCTCAAGGCTAGCACTCTACCACTAGAGCCACAGCATCACTTCTGGTTTTCTGGTGGTTTATTGGAGATACAAGTCTCACGGACTTTCTGCCTCGGCTGGCTGTCAAATATATGCTCAATCCTGCATACTAATTTTGGTGCAAAGCTTTCAAAAATGCATTATACATGTATTTGCCTTTTTTCTGTACTGTATGTAATTCTTATGTATGTATGTATTTGCCAGTCCTGGGGCTTGAACTCAGGGCTGGGGCATTTTTGCTCAAGGCTAGCACTCCACCACGTCAGCCACAGCACCTTGGTTTTTTTCTGTTTATGTGCTGAGGAATGGAACTCAGGGCTTCATGCATGCTAGGCAAGCATTCTGTCACTAAATCGTATTCCCAGCCCTCTTTAGTTTTTTTTTAAATCAGTTGTGGGGCTTGAACTCTGGGCTTGAATGTTGTCCCTGAGCTCTTCAGTCAAGGCTAGTGCTCTACCACTTGAACCACAGTGCCACTTCTGGTTTTCTGGAGGTTTATTGGAGATAAGAGTCTCATGGACTTTCCTGCCTGGGCTGGCTTTGAACCATGATCCTCAAATCTCAGCCTCGAGTAGTTAGGATTATAGGCGTGAGCCACCAGGCGATCCTCTTTAGTATTTTAAGGTCATCACTGTCAACATTGATTATATTATACTATATATAATAATGACTTTAGGGGCAACAGAGAAATAAAGGACAGTAAAGTACCAGATTGATGTGACTTTCCATTATTTATTTTTTCCATTATTTATGTTTGTTTTATATAGTGCTTCTGTGACTTCTCTTCCAACTATCAGGTATTCCTCACTGAAGGCTGTTTGGTCTCAAAAATATACCTGTCTCCTAAGTTTCTGCTTATGTGCTAAAGCTCTTAGAACTATGTAAAATAGGCTTCAGAAGCACACATGGGGACAAAGATTGGTGTGAAAAGAGATTTATGAGGAAGGAATTTATGAGGAAGGAAAAAAGCTACAGGGTAGTAAGATATGAGATCTGGAAGGCAGAGAAACAAAGCAAGGGTGAGTCATCAAATAAAACCCTGTGGCTAAGTCCCATGGGCAATTTGGTAGCTTGTAGGTCTAGGCTAACAATTTTATTGTAGTTAAAAAAAAAAAAAAAAAAAAACAGAAATTTGGGCTGGGAAGGTGGCTCAGTGGTAGAGTGCTTGCCTTGCAATGCATGAGGCCCTCCTGGGTTTGATTCCCCAGCACCACATAAGCAAAAAGAAAAAAGCCGGAAGTGGCACTGTGGCTCAAGTGGTAGAGTGCTAGCCTTGAGCTGAAGAGCTGAGGGACAGCACCCAGGCCCAGAGTTCAGGCCCCACAACTGGACCCCCCCAAAAAAACCAGAAATTAAATATTTGGACCCCACTTTATCAGTCTTTGGTTAAGGACTGATCCTGGAAGGATGTAAATTTCCAAGTGTTTTATTTAATTTATTATTATTTTGTTGTTTTAGTTAGGGGGCTTGAACTCAGGGCCTGGGCGCTGTCCCTGAGCTCTTCGGCTCAAGGTTAACGCTCTACCACTTTAGCCACAACTCTACTTCTGGTTTTCTTGTGATTAAATGGAGATAAGAAGGGCTCATGGAATTTCCTGCCCGGCAGGTTCTGAACTGTGATCCTCAGATCTCAGCCTCCTGAGTAGCTAGGATTACAGGTGTGAGCCACTGTTACCCTTCCCAAGTATTTTAGACTCTTCTTATAAGCAGGCATAGTATATTCCAGTAGTTCAAAAGCAGTCCTCTACCATAGTTATATCTAGTGGGTATAGGTATCATGAATATGGAGGAAAATGAGAAAGATAACTGAGGGGATACAGGAAAGAGAACACAGAGCTTCAGAACTGGTCTCTGATAAATGAAATTCAGATGCTTAAGAGTATTAGAGCTTGGGCTAGAAAAAATTCAAGTGGTAGTGTACTAACCTAGCAAGATTTAGGTCCTGAGTTCAATCCCCAGTGCCACCAAAAATATAAGAGCATGTGGCTTTATAATGATGAAAGTAAAGGAAAAATATGGTTTATAATACCTATTGTGAATTGAAAATATATATTTATACGAAAATTTAGACCAATGTTTACAGTAGTGTTACTAACAGCCAAAAGATGGAAACCACTTCACTGTCAATAAACTGATGTATAAACATATTATTTTCTAGTAAAATGATACGTGCTACAGTAAAGATGAATGTTAAAAATATTATACTAAGGGCCGGGAATGTGGTTTAGTGGTAGAATGCTTGCCTAGCAAGCATGAAGCCCTGGGTTCCTCAGTTTTGCATAAACAGAAAAAGCCAGAAGTGGAGATGTGGCTAAAGTGGTAGAGTGCTAGCCTTGAGCCAAAAGAAGCTCAGGGACATTGCTCAGGCCCTGAGTTCAACCCCAAGACAGGCAAAAAATTTAAAAAACAATATATATATATATATTATTCTAAGTAAAAGAAGCCGGACAAAAAGTGCCACATAAGCCTGGAATCAGTGGCTCACGCCTATAATCTGGGCAACTCAGGGGGCTGAGGAATATAGTTCAGAGCCATCCAGGGAAGGAAAGTTTGTGATACTTTTAACTCCAGTTAACTACCCCCAAATAAGCCAGAAATGGATCTGTAGCTCAAAGTGGGAGAGCACTAGCCTTGAGCATAGAACTCAGTGACAGTGCCCAGGCCCTGAGTTCAACCCCAGAATCGCGGGCGCGCGCACGCACGCACGCACGCACGCAGGCACACGCACACGCACACACGCACACACGGCCACATATTGGAAGTGGTGCTGTGGCTTAAGTGGTAGAGCTCTTGCTTTGGGCTGAAGAGCTCAGGGACAGCGCCCCAGTCCAGAGTTCAAGCCCCACAACGGACAAAAGAAAAACAAATAAAACAATAGTTATTGGGGCTGGGAAGGTGGCTCAGTGGTAGAGCGCTTGCCTTGCATGCCTGAGGCCCAGGGTTCCAGCACCACATAAGCAAAAAGAAAAAAGCCGGAAGTGGCGCTGTGGCTCAAGTGGTAGAGCGCTAGCCTTGAGCTGAAGAGCTGAGGGACAGTGCCCAGGCCCAGAGTTCAGGCCCCACGACCGGACCCAAAAAAAA